GTCTTCCTGCCTGCCTGGCTGGTGTGTGTGTGCATGCGCGTGTGTGTGTCTGTCTGCCTGCCTGCCTGGCTGGTGTATGCGTGTTTGTCTCTGTGGCTTGTGTGTATGTCTGTCTGCCTGGCTGGTGTGTGTGCATCTCTCTGTGGCTTGCATGTGTGTGCGCGCGCGCGCGTGCACGTCTGCCTGCCTAGTGTGTGTGCATCTCTCCATAACTTGTGTGTGTGTGTCTGCATGGCTGGGGTGGGTGTGTCTGTCTGTGTCTCTGTCTGCCTGGCTGTCTGTCTGTCTGCCCTGATGATGTGGTGGGGGGGGTGTGTGCATCTGCCTGCCTGGCTGGGGGGTGGTGTTCAAGCCTGGTGAGAGAGAGAGAGAGAGAGAGAGAGAGAGAGAGAGAGTGTGTGTGTGTGTGTGTGTGTGTGTGTGTGTGTGTGTGTGTGTGTGTGTGCGCACACACACACACACACCTGGCTGGGGAGGGGGGGGGAGACGTGTCTGCCTGCCTGGCTGGTGTGTGTATATGTATGTACATCTGTCTGTCTCTGTGTGTGTCTCTGTCTGTCTGTCTGCCTGGCTGGTGTGTGTGTGTGTGTCTGTGGCTGAGCAGCAGCACGGGGGGAGGAGCTGTTTTTCTCCCAGCACACAGGCAAGCACGCAGCCAGGACTAATGCACGTTAAACAAATTAACGCATTAATCGCAGGAATTCATTGCAATTAATTGACAGCCCTAATTGAAAACATATTGGGATTGGTGTGTTGCCATTTATTTAAAAAAAATTGTGTTTAAATGCTTGATGAAAGATTGTTCTTATGATCAAAATATACTTTCCACAATTGTTGTTCCATCACATTTTGCAAGACTCTATTTGATAAATTTTATGTATCCCACTTCTGCAGGCTATTACTCCTGGAGAAACTCAGCGGTGGGCTCCTGGTTTATTCAGTCGCTATGTACAATGCTGAAACAGCATGCAAAGAATCTTGAGCTTATGCAGATCTTAACACGTGTAAATCGCAAGGTGGCAGAATTTAGCTCGTGTTCAAACCGAACAGAGTTTGATTCAAAGAAGCAAATTCCATGTATTGTGTCCATGCTTACCAAAGATGTGTACTTTCCTCACTGAAGACCAGCACCTTTATTTGTATTTCTGCATAGAATTTCAGTAATTTATGCATTGAATACCAGTTACAAATCTGAGTTACCGTTCACTACTGTATGTAAGTAGCCTAGATGAAATGAAGTCTATTTAAAACTAAATTGGTGCAGTATTAAAGAGGTTAACATGATGTTACCACTAACTGAAATAAGGACAAGTTTGAAAGTAGTGTTTCTGAAAAATTAGGAGGAGACGGATTGAATCGCATATTCTCTGTTTTAGACGCATCATTTCATTCTGGATGGAGTAGGAAGTCATGAAACTTTAGTTTCTCTTTTCATCTATGAAATCTCATTAGGAAGGGATTCAGAAAATGGTATGTACCAGAATCATTTCACTGATGGTGGTGATACTGCATTAGTGTCACTACAGATTAGTGTATTTGAGAAGTACCATATTTTCCTCACATAACACACACATTTTCCCCTAAATCAGCTGGGGGAAATTTGGGTGTGTATTATATGTGAAAAAGATGGATTCCCAGAGGTCCAGAGATTTGATGGCAGGGGATGCAGTGGTAGCAATAATTGTTGTGGCTTCCAGAGCCATAGCAATTAACACTGCCACCACTCTCCCACTGCCAAGTCTCCAGATCCTTGAGGAGGCCCTGGCTGGCCCTGGCTGGCTGACATGCTACTGCATGCCTGTATGCCAGCCCAGTCCACAGCTGAACCCAGCACCCCAGATCAGGCTGATACATGGGTCAGTCCATATCTGAACCCAGTGCCTGGCCATGGAGACCCCAGACCTCAGGTACTTGCCCACACTCCATGGTAAGATTTTTTTTTTTTTTTCCCCTTTCTTGGGGCCTTCCAAAAACCAAGAGTGCATGTTATAATCAAGATCATGCTATAGGTGAGAAAACATGGTGCTCTAGAGGACTGTGTGAACTATGGGAATATACCATTCTTTGTATACAAGGAGGCATCCTATTCATCCAGCTGTTTTGTGGATGGAATTGAATAGCTAAGACAGCATTCCTGAAAAATGCTCCTTGCTCACTACTCTCAACTCCCTATAGATGAAGGTGCTTAACACCTGCTGACAGCACTTGATGCCTTGCAGGATGAAAACAAAATGGGACTATACTTCGAGTGACAAACTCCACTGTTTTTGGCCATATATCATGAGATTTTTTTGTTTTTGTTTTTCTTTAAATACTGTGTGTACATTATTCAATCTGTCACCAAAAATAAATGTGTCATATTGGAGAAAACTCAGTGGCTTTTTTTAAAATATCAATTTTTATAATTTAATAAAAGGTGTGGTAAAACAGCATATTTAAATCTCTCATTAGGTTTTTCTACTTAGTGAGACTATACTGGTATGTAAAAGTGAATCAGATTTTTAAAGTCATAATAAGTTTAATCATAAATATTTTTATCTTCATTGATAACAGTTAAAATCTTCTGATTTAATGGAAAAAGGAAACTCAGAATTGTAAATGACTATTGGATGCCTGCAGACAAGACTTTTTAAACTTTTAAAAAAATTTTAAAAATTGAAAAGACTTTATCAATTAAATATTGTTAATTTAACTGTGCTTTCCTGTCCTTTATTCTCATTTATTTTTCAACCTAACTTGTACAGTTTCAACTTTACATTTGTTTAACCTTTCCTCCCACCCTCATCTGTTGTGGTTTTTCTTCCCTTCTTCTTCACACCAAACACTGAGAGGAAATGAAAGAACAATAGATCAGTTTTTATATAGAACCACATTCTGAGGCACCTGTAATTTTGCACATGAAGTGTTAAAACTGCTCAAATTGTCTGGGGGAGGGAGAGACCTGGGTTCCAGTTCCTGTCTCTAATAATAATTTGCAGAAAAGTATTTGGTGGACCAGCTGCTGAAAGCTACATCTTTCCTTTCTTATGAGTTTCTTGTGGGTTTTAGCTTTTTTTAAACTCTAGGTACCCTTTGGAAAATGCCAGCTCTTAGCTTCTGACTGTGGAAAAACAACAGAACAATTCTTTTTTTTGCAAAGAATTCAAAGACCATAACAGGTCAGAATGTTTTGGATGCTGTGGGTTCCTAATGGAAATCTCTGGTTTATTTTGTGAATCATGTGTAGGTGTTTTACACCTGACAAGGCTAATAATGCATCCTGAAAATGATCTCTCAGTACTCCAGGGTGCTGCAGCATACTGGTTGAGAAATCACTGTTATAGAGCCATATCACTAATTCTTCCATGCAAAGGAAAACAACTTCAGTAGAAATGCACAAGAGCACCTAATACCGGAGTACTCAATAACCTAGTGATTAGAGCTTTTGCTTTGTCAGTGGGAAATGCAGGTTCATATCCTCTCAGACAAAGGAAGAAGTTGGAAACCCTGGTGTGACTCATCCTGGGTAAGGGGTTACAAAGCTTCCTTGATCTAGACATTTTTTTCCAGATAGAGGTGTTCTAGGCATCTTACTGTAGAAAAGGGGGGTTACTCTTCGTATTTACATACCTAAGATTTGTAGGATTTATGATGTTCTCCCATCCTTGATGTCTTCTACTGGTTAGCTTAGATAGCTCCCTATACATTTGCTTACTTTTGTGGGTACCAATCTTAAGACACCAAAGTATACCCACATATTGTATAGGAAGCCTACATGCCTGTCTACTTTGGTACTTTTGGATTGCACTCAGTAGCTAGGGAGCCTCGCCATATGTGCTGCAGTGCTCAACTGCTTATTAATCTAACCCAAAGTAATTACAGATTGGGCATGCTTCTGAAACTTTCATATTCCTCTATGAAAATGCAACTTCTTTCACTGAATATGCTTTCTTGCCTGGGAAAAAAATTATGTTCCTAAGTCTATAGTGTGCCCTTTTCTCCCATTTATGAGTCAGGAGATGCTGGATTTCTTTCAGTACTGAAGCATCCGTGAGGTTCTAATTGCAGTTTTGTTTTACTGGAAAAAAACATGGGTTTGTGTCCTCAGTTTACTCAACAAGTAAGGTAGGTTTTCTCATTCAAAGCCTGTTACCATTGCTGCTATTACTAGGATCAGGAGTAGGAAAAAAAACAAAACATGCTTTTTAGCCAACATGATACCAGTTTAATGCACCCAATCAAAAACAGTTATGAACCAAAATGGAAGCCCAGTTGTACAGAAGATACATGCGTCTTTCAGGTAACTAAAATAACTCTTGTTGCATGTAAAACAGATGATAAATCTATAAGTGGACCGTGGCTGAGCCAGTTTAGTTCCAGTTATAAAGACAGTAAGAGAAGGGCTGATGAGAAGGGACAGCAGATTCACAACTATGCAGATCACTAACCAAGGGATGAGATTTGACTGGGGATATCAGCCATAAAGCTACACTGGGTGCATCTACATGAGACATTTACTGCGCAGTAAATGTCTCAGCATCTACAAATGCATCCCTATTGGGGCACACAAAACTAATAAACTCTGCAGCAGGGTAGTATTTGTAAATACTACAAATACCACCTGGCTAGCCCCGCACTGGAGCACCCTCATGCCCCAGTCAGCCCCTCCACAGCACCTTGAGCTGGGCTGGCAGGCTGGTCCCCTGGGCTGCCGGCCACCCGGGGCTGCTGCAACCCAGCTCAATGGGTGCATGTGTAAACCACATGCCCAGAAGCAATCCACTATGGTGCATTAATGACACATGTAGATCCATCCACTGGCAACAAAATAATTCCGTGTGTTGGAAGAGGGGTTCTTTTCTCTGCAGTTCCATGCCCATCACAAATTTTCAGCCCATCAGGTTGAGTATTACACTGAGATCAAAGGGTTGAATTTGAAGGGCTAAAGCTGGGAGTCAGGAAGTCTGGGTTGTATTCAAATGCCACTAAATTGTGGTTTGAGCTTGAGTAAATCACTATCATCTGTGATCAGATTTTCCCCATCTCTAAAATAGCAGGGCAGTATGGTCTTAAAGTAACATTCCTTAAAAGGTTAATGATAAGCAATATATAAATGTTAATTTATTATTATTACAATGTCATTATACAGTCCTTACCCACATGATTTACCATACTGAAGTCATAACTACAGATTACTAATGAAACTGAATGGTTATTCAGCTAAAAGAATGGTGGGGAAGAGAATTACACCTCCATTTTTCAATAATTATGTAAATGAAAAGAAAAATCAGACTAAATCTAGGCCTAATAGCATGATTAGGAACATAAAGGAGTTGGAGGGAGAGGTAGTATTTTCACCAGTCCTTCCATGTGGGAAGACAGGCCCAGGCAGGGACAAATGTATCTTGAATACCTTGTTATACAAATGGTGTCAAGAAGATGCTTTGACTGCTTTGGCTGTGGGGAAGGTATTCTATAAAGCGGCCTGTTAGGCAGAAGCCATTAAGCTATTAGGCATAGGCATTTAAATGAATGTTTAATGGGGCCAATGACAAAGATCAGCAGGTGAGTGGAAAATAAATAGTAACCTAATCAAAGGGCTTAACTCTGGGACAGAGAGAGGCTGGAAAATTGCCAGTGAGCTATAGGAGGAATGAGAGAAAAACAGTGGAGCAACTTTATGCATATCTTAGATGTATGGACATTAAGGCTAGAACAAGAAACAGAAAGAGCTAGCAAGCTACCAGTACTCCATGGGCATGAGATTTGCTGTGTGAAATCACAAGTGCATTTGGGAAAAAGGAAGTTATGTTTTATATCATGTATGTGTACTATTTTAGAAAGAGAATACTTACTCCAAAGGACAGGAAGATGGGAGAAGCAACATTGTTAAAAGTCTAGGTCAGGGGTTTTCAACCTTTTTTAATAAGTGTACCCCTGAAAGCTGAACACAGAGCAGGGGGAGGGGCGGGCAGGGGTGGCACGTGGTTGGATGCGGAGCGGCGGCAGCGTGGGGTGGTGGATGGCGGTGGTCCGTGCAAGCTTCCCTCCCCACCCGCACCGTGTCCAACCGACCGAGCAACACTTGTGCAACCTGCAGAGGGGTGCCAATGCCCTTGCTCCATCCCGGCCCTGCTCCTAGGAGGCGGCAGTGCAGGGTGGTGAGTGGCAGCACTCCATCCCCACCCACCCACGCATACCCCTAGGACCTTCCCAAGTGCCCTGGGGGGAATGCGTACCCCCGGTTGACAACTCCTGGTCTAGGTGAAGGTATCTACCTTTGAATGTACAAACAAGATTAATGCCTTTGAATCTTCTAGCACAAGTCAGCTAAACACATTAAGAAACCAGCATGTATATAAAACCAAGAAAAATGATATTTGTGTTCACTGACAGCATGGTGAGCATGGTTTCCTGTAGAGGCAAGGTGCAAAACAGTCCACTGTTGTAAAAGATTCTCTTTCACGTTTCAACCTTGCTTACTGAGACAGTTTAGGTTAATATTTAAGAGCATTTTTTTGCTCAGAATTATACCTAAGCAACACCATTCAAGTCAGTATATCACACCAATGTAACTCTAAGCAGAACTGGCCCAATGGCATCAGGTTTAGCTTGATTTGTTTATGTAAGTTGTCATAAACATCAGATTGGTTATCATCTTATATGCAATGGTTCTAGTCCTACCCACGTCCCTCGGTAATATCATGTATTAATTCAAACTTTGAACAGACCCATTCTTCCAAGTCCTTCCTCCTGGTTTCCATTACAACTCCTCACCCTTAACATTCCACTCAACTTTGAAAGCTCCTTTTGTGCACATTTTCCCTCCACATTTAAATTATTTTTTTTCCTCTAAACTAGTCTTTTCTTTGACAAGTCATTGACTAAAAACTGCAGGCAAAGTGTTAGTTGCCATGTTGAACATTTGTTCTCTGTGTTAAAGGTTATCTTACCTCAGTTCACAAATCCAGCTTCTTCCTTTCCTTTATTAATTTATTGGGACCATTTTCAGAATGAAATTAATGTAGCTAAAACATGCATTAAATAAAGTGCAAACAGGAAATCAAATATTTAACCTGGTGTCTGCACATATATATTCTGATTATTAGCAGACTAATAATATTTAAATTTCAAACCATCTTCATTTTGTTTTTATGTACGCTACTGAATACAGTACCTTGGCTTAAAAATAATAGTGATTGTAATAATATAGTCTTATTTATAAAGAATTTAAAAACTAGTAATACAGTAAATTGATTTCTTCAGTCACATCCTACAGTTGGGTTTATGCACATTACTCAATAAAAATAATTTTAGTTCTATATTTCTGCTAATAATGATGGTGGATGGTATAATTATCATATCAATCCATCCCAACTTTTCAGATCATGTGGTGGTGTGTGAAACATCAGTTCATTCCCACAGGGTGTCACTATAGCTAATGGAATAATCGACACCAGCAGTGAACATTAGCACATCAGTGTATCTGAAAATAAAAAAGATTCCCATCTTGCGTGATCCCTAACTCTAGCCTGTGAGAATCACCCTTTCCAGCTGGCAAGCCATAGGAGTTTCAGGAGGTGATAGGAGATTGCACACTGAATCCAGATCCTTTTATGCTTTTCAGTTTATTTTAGTTATATGGCTGCATCCAAAAGTTCATAATGGCATCAAGCTGTTGCTCACCAAGCAGAACTGTTTTCTTTCTT